ACAATAATTTCACTTTTTTCATCTAAACTTTTCATTTATTCTATGCATTTATTTTCAAATTTCAGCATGGTATGACTGTCTGTGGTTTTACTATTCTCTCACTACTCATAAAAACAAACTCCAGGTTGCAAAAAAGGCTTTTATTCATAAACACATGATATATTGGATTAAATCTCCCTTTCCTCCCACACATGGAACCAGCCATGTGTATAATATTTTCTCAGACACCCAGAAAGGCAAAAAAATAAACACTGACACTAACTGTGCAGTGCTGCGTTTCTGAAAATAGCATTTCTAATTAGTTAGCCACAGTGAATGCATTTGAATCAGCACAGTTTATATCAGCAGGCGGTGGTTTACACAGTCTTCATGCAAAAACAATCTCACTGATTATTCACCGAAATCTGGGCCATTTCTAATCAGCAGTCAGACTAACTAAGATTTGAATATAATTAACCTACATGGTGCATGGTATGAAGTCCACCACATCAAAGACAACCAAACCTCTGATTTAGGAGGTCAATCTATTATCTGTTAGGCTTCGAGAGAGCCATACTCCCTCTGCCAGTTCCTTAGTTCTCTCTGATAACTTCCATTCTGCCCGGTAGCGTAAATCATCCCTCTCTTCTCCTGAATCAACAAGCTCAATCCTCAGGAACATTTCTTTCTCCAACATCATCGAAGCCAGCACAGAGTCTGCAGCTTGTCTGCTTCTTGGTAATCTGGGAGAGGACCGAGACACCCCTCGACGAGTGGGCGGGCCACTTTTAACCCCTCTGCTTCTGACGTCGTCTTCCTTTTGCTTCACCGAAGACACATCTCTGCCATCTGAGGTAGATGTACTAGAAGAACTCTCATTGGTTGATTCTGAGGTGACAGATGACTGCGTATCCTCCAATTGGTCAAGATCCACTTGGTAGGCTAATTTCTTATTACTTTGTCTGCTGATGGAGAGACAAGGGGGCCACCGGAGGGAGAGACATTTTGTCACCGCCAGCCATAATTCTTGAGGCCTGAATAAACCTGACCTTGGCTGATCGGTGTCACAAAAACTGTTTCTTTCCTCCATTTCTGCATGTTCTCCTTCAGAATCCGACTCCACCACCTCTCTGACGGAAACTCTGTTAGAGTTCTTTGGTGACGGTTCTGCTTCTTCACCTTTGTTTTTTGACGCTGCCTCCTGATCCTCCCCAAAGCTGAAAGAACTGCTGAACCTCTGGCTCCTCTTCATTGCTCTTTCTGCCTCCTCATCAGTCTCCGACGATGAATCTCCCTCTGACGAGCGTCCACGCGGTGACGTCCGATCCTTTGAGTTTTTTGACCATGGCCGATGATTCTCTTCAGACTCAGAGGAGCTGCTGGCCCTCTGGCCTCTCCTCATACTTTGGTAAACAATTCCTCTCCTCCAGCTGCCCAGTACTACTCTTCCTTTGGCTTAACAGCGACAGATTGACAGAAAAAGAAGCGAAGTAGTAACAGCTATCACAACAACAGCAGCCGCAGCAGCTCTGCTAGCATGGCACATTCTGACATAATATCTGCTTCAACAGGCACAGCTATGCCAGTGGAGCTGGGCAGTGATGACGTTGTGATGTCATGTGCCCACATGCACACATACACACACTCTTGCACAAATCCCCTGCGTGGCTCTGTGTTCATGCTTCAGTCGAGTGAGATGTGACTTGCCTCAAAGGGAAGTGATGTCACATTGCATGATGTCATACCTAGCCTCGAACCAGGAGTCTACAAATGGTCTGTGTTTGTGCAAGAGCGCAGATGGTACAAGAAAAAAAAATAGATGCCCTACCCTTGAAATTGACCTAGATGTGCAACATGGTAGTCGTGATAACGATTTTCCTTTCTATGCTTTATTCTTTGTGCTACAGTTGCGATGATATGCATCAAAAATAGTTTGTCTATCTTTGTCACAGGCTACCAAAATATACATTAAGTATTTTATGTTTTATTTACCCAATTAATTAAAGTGAAAAATAAAAGAATCATTAAAATCACTATGAGTTGCTCCAGATGTATTTGTGTTTGCCATAAATACTGGTTCATTTGTCCAATTGTGTGTGCATGTGTTTACTTTATTTTGGGGTGCTGTAGGACAAAGAGAGAATTTTTGAAAGCTTAAACCAATAACAGCAACAGCAGCTGTGCTCCTGTTGGAGCTCTTTGTGTTGTAGTAGTAGAGTACGTGTTTGTACGTGTGTGTTTGTGGTCTTATGAGGGCAGTCTGCTCAGTGAGTCCCAGACTAACAGCGAATGTTAGGTCACTGGCTATATGCTTGCTTTTCCATTTATGGTCCTGGTGGCTGCTCAGACGTCACGTCTCTCTGCTCATTCACAGCACACTTTCTTGCATCACCTCGGGGCAAAAGGACATTGCCTACTCTAAGCTGGCTGACATTCTCACACACAGAAAGACACACATACATGTTACATCGTATAAAATCTGTTGAGTCGACGTTTGAATATAGGCAGCGATGTGTCGTTGAAGGGAAGAGAAATTGATAATGACTGAAATGAGAATAATAACATTTCTCATACTGGTTTTATCTGATGCGATCAACAATAAAAACCTAGTAGTTCTAGTCTGGACCACTGTGATTCATTATTATTGGATCGCTCTAAAAGCTTCCTGAAAAGCCTTCAGTTGATCCACAATCCGGCAGCTAGAGTACTGACAGGGATTAGGAAAAACAGCATATATTTCTTCCATATTGGCTTCTTCTGATAAATCCCTGTTATATTTAAAATTCAATTTAATATCTTTCTCCCAAAATCTTGAATAATCAGGCCATGTCATATCTTAAAGACCTCTTAGTACCTATCCTAACAGAGCACTTTGTTATCAGACTGCTGGATTACTTGTGTTTCCTAGGGTATTTAAAAGTAGAATGGGACCCAGAGTTCAGCGTTCAGGCCCCTTTTCTGTGGAACCATCTCCCAGTTTGGATTTCGGAAAGAAACACACCCTCTATTTTTAAGATTAAACTTTTAAAAAACTTTATTTTTTGATAAAGTTTATAGTCAGGGCTGAATCCGGTGACCCATGAATCCTCTCTATAAGTTATACTGCGAAAAGTCTAGGCTGAAGGGGTCTTTCCATGATGCACTGAGTGTTTCTTCTTCACTCACCTCTTTTCACTCTATGTGTTTACACACCTCTGTGCATTTAATCATTAAATGGTAAATGGCCTGTATTTGTATAGTGCTTTACTAGTCCCTAAGGACCCCAAAGCGCTTTACACAACCAGTCATCCACCCATTCACACACTGGTGATGGCAAGCTACATTGTAGCCACAGCCACCCTGGGGCGCACTGACAGAGGCGAGGCTGCCGGACACTGGCGCCACCGGGCAACGGGTGAAGTGTCTTGCCCAAGGACACAACTACCGAGACTGTCCAAGCCGGGGCTCGAACCGGTAACCTTCCGATTACAAGGCCTTGTAATTGAGCCACGATCGCCATTAGTTACTATTAATCTGTGACCCGCTTCCATAGTGTGTCTTTTGTCCCATCATCCTCTCCTCACCCCCTGTCGCAACAGATGGTTGCCATTCGCTGACCCTGGCTCTGCCTGAGGTTTCTCCTTGTTAAAAGGGAGTTTTTCCTTCCCACTGTCACAGAGTGCTTGCTCATAGAGTGCTGCGTGGTTGTTGGGGTTTTCTTTCTAATTTTGTAGCGTCTTTCCGTACACTCTAAAGCACCTGAAGGCAACTGTTGTTTAGTAAACTGAAATATGAATACAACTAAATTTAAGTGAATTCAATATGACATGAACATCACATTCTACAGATTCCACATCAATCAGTTTTTTAAAAGATAAACATGACGTGACCAATTGTAGCCACCTTTAACACGATAAACTCGCCTGTTTACTCTGTTTGTGTTTATGGAGCCCTGATAAAAATTTATGGTGCTACCCAGATTGGCAAAATCTATCCGGAACCCAAGTTTGGGTGAAATCACTTTACTCGTCTCACAAGGATTTTCATGGCATAAATAAATGAAACCTGGATCCTCAGGTAAGATTTAAATGTGATAAATCGGAAGCTAGCACAGACAAAAATACAGCTGCCAGGAAATTACTTCATTTGAAGAAAAGTGTCAGTGCTTTTTGGCATTCAAAAAGTGATCCAAATAAAAGGGCCACAGAACACATTATACATCTTTAAATGTGCAGTATGTAAAGCTGAACCTTATTTTCACATCCCTTCCAAGTAAGTGCTTTAATACAATATCTAGATGATGAAGTGAGTGTTTTTAGGACTCGGCGAGGCAGTAATGCAGTGGCTGGGGAGTAGAAAAATATAGAGAAGCACACTGCATCTACTCTAAAAATGTCCGCTGGCAGGCAAACTCAGAGCTTGGCTGAATACTATGCCTCCATAGTTTAAGTGTGGCTGCAGCTTTCTGCAGTGTCTTATCTGGCATCACTGCAGACTGATGCTGAATAATATATCATGAAATAGCAAGATGTGAAGAAATGATGAGGTAGAGCAGGGTGAATTATTAAGTCTCTCTTAGTCGTTTTATCTTGACCTTTTCCCCCACCTTGACACACTATAATCAAACAGTTTCACGTTCTCCGACACTCAAACGGAGCAGCGTTATGGAAAAGTTGAAGTTGCTAATGCATATAAAAAAAAAATCACAAAAAGCTTTGGATGGAAAACAGCAAGCCAGCGAAGCTGAATGCGCTCCAGTTATGGGAGTTATTTCTGGACTGCTTCCACATACATTATTCACACGAAACGAAGGGTAGACGGCACACAAGCCATTAAACTCACCCCGAGATCCGCGCGAGCTCGCTGAAACATCATAGCCACGAGGACGAGGTGAGTTCAGGTGCATGCAACAGGCGAGCCAAGTGAGGGCGCAGTGGACTCCTCACGGCACGAGAGGCGAGCTCGAGCGGCGTGCGGATGATACGCCACTTCTCATTGGCTCAGGGTGTCAAATAGGCGGTGCTGTGCGCGGCGTTTCATTGATATACCCTACAGCTGGTGGCTGCGGACACCAAACGGAGTGAAAGGGCTAAGAAAGTGATGACGGCTTGATGTAGAGGGGTTGTGTTTTTTTAAGCGAAGGCTCGAGAGTTGGTAGAGTGTTTTAAAGAGTGGCACACCAAAGATTTTCAGAAACAAAACATTCAAAATGCTCTGCCACGTTACTCGTCCGGATTCGGTGGTGATGGAAGTGGAAGTTGATGCGAAGGCGAACGGTGAAGATTGCCTCAACAAGGTAGAGACGGGCTGCACGTTTTATTCTTCTTTGTGTCTTAATGTGAAAATAACGTCGCCGTATGTCCGTCGGTGAGGCAGCACGGCTCGGGTCGTCCGAAAAATATTTTCTTATGTTTCAGTCAACTTCACCTCTAATGTGTCGCGCTCATTTATGAGTCGACTATATGTGGTGAATAAGACTGAAGAGCCGAGTTTCTGCACGATTAGAAGATTTTATTTGTTTTTATTTCTTGAATTAATTAATTCGCCACAGCTTCATTGAGCTTCAGCTTTAAGCTACAACAAAACTGTCACCTGCTTTGTTGCTTGTAGCAAACTAGGACTGAGGAAACAATGTTCTGAGCGCCAAGTGCAGAAAAATCAACTCTTTCTTCTTTCGTGTCCTTTTCTTCTTCTTCTTCTTCTTCTTCTTCTTCTTTCGTTATTCTTTTATTTTAATAATACAAACCCTCTAAAGTGTCACTTCTGTCAAAAAGACACGGAGCTGAAACACGTAGAGAAAAGTTTTGTTAGGTTGCTGGGAAGCTGCCGACTGCCACTTCAGACTCCTTCGCTTAGTCAGAGGCAGATGGCTTTGTGCAGGTTACTCCAGGTCATCCTGCCGCCTCTCAAGATGAAACTTAGCTTTTCACATCTCTACCCACCACCACCCCAACTCAACATGGACACAGTAGTAACTGTTATTTCCTTTGATTGCCATTTCCCCTCCTCATTATGATGTTAATCTATTTAATATGCACAGAACGAGTTTTATCTCAGCCTCCTGGCTCCCTGTGCAGACTTTCAGCAGCAGTTATGTAATAAACCCATGGCTGCTGCCGCCGGAGGAGCGTGGGATTGCGGGCTTGATGAGCCCCTGTACCCCGGGAGGGGCTCCAAGTTCACTTCGTGAGCTTCAGAATATTGATGGGGGTTTGTGTGTTGGTGTATCTGCAGTAACAGCAGTACTGGTGAATTTCCTTGTAAAAAATTAAAAAAAAGTCCAGTGGGACTTTACTCAGTTGGTTCTCGTCACTTTCCACATGACAAGAAAAGTTATCGATTGCCTCTTTAAAGGAGCTCTTCACCATCAGTCACTGTCCTGTGGTGAAAAGCTTCACGCCTCACTTCGTCTGTTTTTTGTGACCCCCCCGCTTGTTTTGCCTTTCTTCAGGTTTGCAGAAAGTTGGGCATAATCGAAGTAGACTACTTTGGGCTGCAGTTCACAGGCAGCAAAGGAGAAAACCTGTGGCTGAATCTGAGGAACCGCATCAGCCAGCAGATGGATAATTTGACACCCTGTCGGCTCAGGCTGCGGGTCAAGTTCTTCGTGGAGCCCCATCTGATTCTGCAGGAGCAGACGAGGTACTTTTGAAAGTTTGCACGCTGTAAAGACACCGTGTGCAAGGAAATTTGCTCATAGGCCTTAGAACAGCTATAACTCTGAACTACTTCCTCTTATTGTTTTGAGTGTGTAAATGTGTTCGTCATCTCCTCTAAAACGGGTCGAAGAAATGACATCAATTTTCTTTTTCATGACTTTAATGAGGACCACGTGTTTGGGGAAACAAAACAAAGCCACCATTGGCGAGTTCCCAGAGCATAATCTGATCACTGTTTCCAACAAAGTGAAAATGCCCTATAGTAACCTCTTCCCCAGTCCTTCCGGGGTTACTATAGGTCATTTTGGTGAAGCGCCAGGCAGGAAATATGATCCAGCAGCTCTGGTGCTGTGTGCTGCTCTGAGCCTACCCCCAGGGACCCTCTGTGTGACAGCCAGGACCTCTCGTCACTGCTCCCATTCAACTCGAAATATCTTTTTGTTTCAATTGGCCGTGGCTGTTTTTCGTGTGAACAAAAGCCCTCCCGTTTTCTGCTTTTTCTGCAGATGCGGTTTGGGGAAAAGCTTGTGTGAGGGGTGCTTACCCTTGCGAGAATATGCCGTCAATTAGAATAACAGTTGCAGCTGAAGTTCTGGATAACTCTTGTTCACTTTCTGTGCTTTATTGGTCATTAGGCGATGGCAAGAAAAACTGCTGCTACAGTGAGTTGACATGTAGTTTTAACATGTGCCCTTCTCTGGTAGACTAGTTTAAAAAAAACAAGTAACAATCCCAGGCTTGTCTGACTCGGTAGTCCCCTGCCCACAGACTGTAAAGTTATAAATGGAAAGTGAATTTTCAGCCTTTGAAACGAGTCCCAAAAACTTGTTTTGATGGAGTCGATGTTATGTTCACCCGGGGCGATGTGGTGAGTGTTTGATACCATGGATATGAATCAAGGAAGCACTTGAACTGCAGCATTCCACTAGAACTATTTATCAAGCTAAACTGTCCCTGTTGTTCTCCGGTTCACCTACTGCTCCGACTCTCTTCCTTCTCCCTTCACTGTGCTCTATCAAATGTAAAAAGAGGGGATTTCTACTGTTTTTTTCATGTGCTGCAGTTGGGCGATTAAACTGTGCCCACTCCTATTTCCTCTCTTTCTGGCTCTTCTCCCTCCATCTTCCTATTCCACTCCACTGTAGCCCATATTTGGCAACCTTTTGAAGAAGAAAGTGAAAGGACAGTCAGGGGGGCTAAGGGCACGGAGGACACTTGGCTGCCTGTGCGCTGACCTCCAGTAGATTAGCAGGAGTTATCAGCAGATGGCTGGTGTTTGGTCAAGACGTGGGGGGTGGGCGGTGAAAAGAAGTGAGATAAAGATTTTAAATTGCAGGTAAGGTCAGGTGGGTCGCTGCTAATAAATACTCGCACATGTCACACGTCACCATGCTGTGAGGTTAGGTGTTTAATTTTGGCTCAGCCTTCATGCCGTCCGTCTGCTCAGATGTGATATAATATGAGGGGTGAGCGTGCAAACACTGGCATCAGTTTTTAGAGAGACGGCCAAGCTGTTGATGTTACAGCAGCAGCATTTTGAGGACAATCGCACGTGGCTCAGAAAATCCTTTTAGTGCATTTAGTGGTGGCATTTCTATGAAAGACTCGCATCATTTTTTTTTTCTTGATTTTTATCTTGTGTGCGTGCATTTAACATCATCTTTGCTAGTGAACGGTCTACAAAAGAGTGGCATGCAAGGACCTTCTACACCAATTGATTTATTTTTTGTACTTGTAAAGAAAGGCAAAAGGACCAGTTTTAGCTTATTGTGTAGCTACAATGCACGGATGATTAATGTCATGCATCGTTTTCCTGAAAGATGGGTTTTGGAGGTTTTTTGTTTGTTTTTGGGTTGTTTGTTTTTTGTTTTTTGTTTTTTGCTTTGTAGAAAATAAATTCTAAATTTAAGCAAATGGTGCTTAGACAGACTAGCTTCCCTTTTCTTGTTCTGTCACCTTTGACCTAGTTAAGCTACACAACTTCCTGAAAGTTGCTCTGAATGCACACATGCTGTCATGACACGCCTCATGACACAAAGCTATCTTCTACAGTCCACTTTTTAAAAAACATTTTTGTTAGTCACACACCTACAGGCCCTTTCCACTGCAGCAGAACATCCAATAATTATTTTAAGGGCATTTGTGTACCCATCTGAGTATCTTCTGCTGCTTTTTTTCCCCCCTCTTGTGTTCAGTTGAGCAATAAGTAGCAAGTGTGTGCGAACTTGAGTAAATATTCCATGCAGAGCTTGGAGGATAGCCTTGTCACTGTCCCCTTATGGGCCTTTATAGCCCTTACATAACCTGATGAACCTGCAGAGCTGCTTATATAAGCTGCTGCGCACTTTGCTGCTGCTTTAAGCCTAGCAGGTCACAAGTGTTAACCCTGCATGTGAGCATTAAAAGAAGCCTTAATGCTCAGATGCAGCCGACTGTTTGGGCACATTCTGCCAATTCATTTTAATCTTTGGTAGATAAACGTGACATTCAGACTCTAAACCTGAATTCATAGTATTTAAGAGGGTATGCAGTGTGACTGTATTGCGGGGCTTAAATTCAGCTTGCATCTGCGATAAAAGTGTCCCAGATCATGCTTCTAAAACCTCATTTACTTTTTGATCTGTTTGCTTTTCTTTTGCAGACTTGTTTAATATAGCTTTTCTAGAACAGTTTATGCTACTGTGTATAAAATTGACTTGGGGTGGCTTCTTTCCATCTCTCTATCAGCTTGTTTGTTTTTATTTATGTATTTTTCTTCTGTTTGTAAAAGTTCTTCGTTCCATAAGTTCTATAAAACATCCAGCATCAACTGACCTGTTACTGGAATAATGCTGCTTTTATTGGTTAAAGGATGCTGACAGAAGGGCCTCAACAACAGTCTCTGTTATCTGCATCATTAAACGCTACTTGCTAAAGGGCGTTTATAGTTTAAATATGTGAATGTTTTCCCCTTCATTAGCACTCCTGTTTAGCATTCTGGTCAGGCAGTAAAAAAAACAAAAAACTAGATGGCCCCAGAAGGCACAGCTATTAGCACAGGCTGTATCAGAGGTCCTGGTTGTTAACCCGTGTGCCTCCTCTGGTTTAAGCCTTTGTTTAACATCAATCCAAATCAAACTCCAAGTGAGTTTTATTTAAAGGAGAATTATTTTAATTGATTATGGCTTTTGAATAAAATGTTTATTTGAATCACTGTTGTTCAGGATGGTGACACAAGTAGAAAAGACACGGACAAACCCTAAACAGTTTTGCCTAAACGGTCTCCTCTGTGATGAATCACAGGACTGGGAACGATTGTAGACTAAAAATATTTGGCTTTAACTTTAAAGACTCTTCACTGCTTGTCATTTCTCTTACCGTGCACCACCTTTCTTGCATAATCCTGAATATTGTCTACCCACGGTGGCTGTAGATAAAATCAAATTGGAATTTTTGTCACAGACTTTTACTTTATACTCCTGTGCATGGTGGGGTAGTTTTTTTTGTTGTTTTTTTTAAAACCTGCTGTGGGCCTACACGTACATAGCCAGAGTCGAGCCTGTGCGTGTGCGTGTGAAGAAAAAGCTCAATTTGACTGCTTTTTTTTTTTTTTTGTATTCTCAGCAGATCGTTTTGTTTCTATAACGCACAATTGCAGATAAGGACTATGAAGAACGAGCCGTGTTTGACAAAGTTCATACACGGCCTCTTAGAGTGAATGTTCTACAAAAACAATTTATGCAGGTCACACTCGATTATAGTTTTCAGGTCGTTGTGACATGCTACACAGACGATTAAGCCAAAGATCACATATGATGCCTGTGGGTCTTCGAGTGTTGTTTTATCTGCAAGCTCTACAATCAGTAATTCTTCTCCTCCAGCTTCTGTATAAATTTCTTACCGTCTGTTTGTTGTGCACTTGAGTAACCTTGCCGTGGTTCTTTTGAAGCCACAACATGACAGTTTTTATATTTTTATGGTGCCTGAACTTGATGCTGGGCAGTAATGGCAATATTTTACCAGCCAGTTGCTTGAAACCCAAGAAGTGTTGCAGACAAGCAGCGGCTTTGTTTTAATACAGTGTCGGCTTTCAGTCCAACTTGTCAGTTCAAAAGCAAGTTTTATTTAGCGCTTGGCATTAATGCTGCGCAACTGTGCATCAAACTATGCGATCAAACCGCCCACAGCTTCAGAGAGGATGAGCAGAGGTAACTATAGTTCACTGACTGCTAGTAACCTCACGACACATTGCTTCTGGCAGGGTGTTATTTGACTAACTTACAAACCGCATTGTTGAGAGTCCAACCGATGAGGTCGGAAACTCTAGTAGTGATTGGCTGAAAGAAGTGCAGGCGGAGGTGTTAGGTTTCAGTTTGCGGGGATGTTTTGTTCTCCTGTGAAATGAACCGGTTGACATTCAGCTTGGTGGTTGGTCACGGCACAAAAAAAAGATGAAATGGTTTTTATAGATGGGTGGAACATACTGGAAAGTTTAGTTGACTTTGAAAAGTTCTGTTTTCTTCTTCAGAGCAAATGTATTTAGAAAAAAATAATAATTAAAGGTTCTCACTGAGTTGCTGGAGGGGGGGGACAATTCCTTTAGGGATATTTCAGTGTTTTCAAATGGTTCAAAGACGGAGCAGAATAAATCAGCTGAAAAATTTATCTTCATCCCTCTTAGCTCCGCTCTTTGGCCGGTGACCTATTTTGAAATATTCGTTCTCAGGGCCCAGGCCTGCTTTAATTGAATTATTCCAGTTAGGCAATCAAGTATTGAAACTCTTGCACAGCCCTTCACACAACGATCTCCACAACATCCACAAGCTCTGTTTTCAGGAGATTTCATTTCACCTGTGCTCTCTTGGCACTGACGAGTGTTATGACTGTAAATGAGTAACCCTTTTAAGCCTTTGTTTATGGGTTTTCTCCATTAAAAGACAAAGCAATGGGGTGTATACAAAGTAATACAGCAGAAGTAGGCCACGAGACTTTGTGCACATTTCCTGGCATTCAGTCTGCATGTGTGCACGCTAGTTGGATCAGCCTAGAGAACAAAACAAATGCTGAGATGATGGCTGCAGCTCTAAAAGTACTTTCTTCAGTAATGATGCATGTGCAAACGTATCCGGATAGTATCATGCATTGCTCCTTGACATTGTGACTCAGAGAGCTGTCTAGCTGCTGATAAATGGCTCTCTGGTCACTCAAAGGGGGGTCACGGTGACTAGATTCTTTATCATCTGCTTGGAAACCAATTTGCTTGGGCCTGAGGGGGGGTGTATTTGTCCATTTCTGTTGTCTTTTGTTGCCGTTATAAAAGACACGTAACCCTGAAGGATTTGTAAAAGACTTAACACCCCTTTATTTTTTTTTTATTTTTTTTTTTTTATGCGTCCAGACATACTGAGTCACAAATCCTTCCTTTCTTTCTCAGTGTTTCCAAAAGGAAGCTGCACAGTAAATTTAAGGAAGTCTGCCTGAATTGGCTCAAGACCACATCAGCAAATCAAGCTCAACTCCCATGTTGGGTTATATTGTGAATTTATGGGCTCTTGCTTGTCTAATAGGAAGGATCTTGACAGGTGTTGAGACTGCCTGATCCTAGCACAGCTGTCTGAAAAGCTCTTTATTCAACAAAGAGGTCAGGAAGTCCTTGCCTTGTAACTAACTGGGGCAAAAGTGATAAAACTTGCTTTTACCAGGTTAAATTTGTGACTGTGTGGTGTTGCTGTTCAAATCCAGTGTTTAAAAGCACAACAGCAGGACGCGTGCACATGAAGCAGTTGTGTGCCGAGTTGTTTTTGTGGTGTTCAGTGGAGTGCATATTTGTTACCTCTGACTCAGGCTCGTCAGACAGGAACGACTAGCAGTGATCTCTAGTTACCTCTTCTTCAAGATTTTTCTTCCTAATAGTTATTTTAGCCTGAGCTCAGCAAAGCACGCACACCTGTTTACACATATCTGGCTTCCCACAACACTGGAGTAACACAAGTTTGGTGTCTTACCCTGCAGCCAAAGGGAAGGGCCAAGAGTGCATCTCATGGCACACTGACACAAGTCGAGCAATGTTGAGGTAAAAGTTTTGGGTACGTCTCCTCTTTGTCTTGTCTTGTCTTATCTTATCGGCGCTGCGATAGCCAACAGGTCCGCACTCGTGCTGAAGGGCGCTTTTGAAATTTTAATTGCCGTTCATGGCAGCAATGTACATCTTGGCAGTCCCCACTTAAACTAGAGTAACCTCTGCGGCTTGCCCTATGGTAACCCTTTACGGCAACCTGTAGTAACCTCTCCGTCAAGTCGGTCCTATTGTTTGCGTCAGGCAGGTAGCTAACGAGCAGCTCGCCGTCACATGACGCCTGCTGGGCTTGACACAATAGATTGCAGTGTTTGTGTGTGCGCATGCTGGAGGGAATGGGATGTTTAACACCATATCAAAGCAGTGTTTGTTATGCCTGAGGCTAGTCAGCTGCGGGGTTTCGTTGTTACAGTCTGGCTTTATCTGGGATGGTGTAGACTTGACTGTTTGTGTGCCCCACAGCTGCTTTTTGCTGCTGGAAACACTGCGAATGTGTGTTGGAGGAGGTGTCTGTTTTTTGTTTTGTTTTTTTTGCATTGCAAAGCTGATGCACTGCATGTGCATATTCTGTGTGGGCTCCTCCTGCTCCCCTGAGATGACAGAGGAAACGCCACATCCATGTCTTCTGTAGTTCCCATAGGGGTTCTCAAGTAGATGCGTTTTCCACATAATCAAAACAAAGGCTTTGTACACACATAATGAAGAGTGTGGTGAGTGCTTCTTCTCCATTCGACTCATAAATGTCCTTGTAAAGCTTCTCAAATATCCCGAAGTCACGGTATGACCTGATTTGCACAAATGAAAATGTCTCTCTTGGCATCATGCTTCAAAGGGAACTTTGGCCCAAGGGAGGTTTTGCTTTAGTCGAAATAGCGAGCAATTTGAGGCACAATATGCTTTAAGTCTACATCAGGAATATGGAGCTCCCAAAAAAATGCTGAGAAGAGAGAAAAGTGCATTTTAAGTTTTATTTGTAGAGCACTGGAGGACTAAAGATGACAATCAGGATGTTTGTCCGGTGGAAGCTGCAGAGCAGGTTTATAGACAGTTACTTTGTTATAGGTCGAATCGAGGAAGGATCGTTTGGGTTACTTGCGTTCAGTGATTTCATGATGTAAGAACTGAGTCACTTAGGGTGTTCCTGTTGACGTATTGTCTCCTGCTGCTAGAAGGAAGAAAAGTCCTTACATCTTTTGGTCAAAACAATAGCAAGACATGTCAAGACTTGTGTTTTTGGAGTATGGAGATATTTTCCTTGACCACGCCAGAACTGTGTGTTCCCTGTTAAAACATTAACTCAAAACAATAACAGTTCTTGCCCACTGTAAAACTTCCACATTTCGGAGCAGAAATGGTTTGGTTTTAGGCACAAGCATGAGTAACGACGTAATTAGGGTTTAAATGGCTATATCACATTTTTGGCAAGAAGCCCAAGAGATGGACATGGATTACACACAGAGCCTGGCCGGCAGTCACGTAATCGAGCCCCAAGCAGTGCATGTTCAGTTTCCCATCGAGCTGCAAAGTCTAAATGCACATGACATTAGAGAGCTGCTGTTTGCATCTTTAACTTTGTTTCTCAACTTCTACTTTTAGGGTTTCCAGTGAAATTACACTTAAAGGAAGTTAGTGGTGTATGTTTTTGAGGAAGTTGTAGAAACGGAGAGAGTGGTTGTAACCGCTGAGTACGAGCTAAGTGGTTTTTCCTTCTGCTGCACACACAGTTGCAGTCTGTGATGGGATTTAAGCTTTGCAATGACCACCTGCTCTGACATGTCTGGGTGACTTGAGTATAACACATGGAAGTTGGTTCTGCATGACTATGTCAAAAGTAATAAATTAATCCCTCTGTTTATTTTTTTTTTAAGCCACTGGTTATTTAGGTAAAGTTTTTTTTTTTTAAATAAACAAAATAAAATCTCCACTAGTGCTGAGTTTAGTGTGGAAAAATCTTATTTCTCCTCTTTTTCTGCCCTGTAGACACATTTTCTTTACGCACGTGAAGGAGGACCTCCATAACGGTCACCTGCGTATGGGCTCGGAGCAAGCCGAGGAGCTGAGTGCACTCCTGGCACAGGCGGAGTTTGGCGACTACAACCAAAACACAGCCCAGTACTGGTATTCAGAGCTGTGTGGAGAAGAGCCCAGCCCCGCCACCATCGACAGGTACAGCACTTGCCAAACATGAAAATAAAATGTCTTTGTGAATATGTGACATTTGCACATGAAAGATGTACTAAGTTATAAATTATGCTGCAGCCTAACATTACCTCTAGTGAAGTTTTCTTAGTTTATGAGACAACTGTAGTTTTTATAGCCCACAAACATGCTTTCTAAGACACTCTGTACCACTGGAAAGTCACTGAAGCCACCGCGCTATTTTTGAGGGGGGTAGGAGTCCAGCCGAGGAGGCATGATGAAAAGTAAATAATGGAGCATGGCAACGAGCCAAAGGTGGCATAATGTGGCAGCTAATGGTCATCAATATTAAAATAATTTAAGAAATTAAAATGCTGTCTTTAGCAAAAAAGGAAGCAGTACAGTTAAACAGAACTCTTTTAAACTAGACTGCACTTTTCCCCTACATTGCAGCAGTTTTTTTGTTTTTGTTTTTTTTTTCCTTTTCCAAGTGAAAGACTTAAAGACTCAGATAAGAACACATCACGCACAGCCACATGGTTGGTGTATGCTGTGAGCTAATGCACACGCTGATCAGCAAACAGAAGCTGACAGGAGATCAGATAGCATGTGCTCGCAGGGTTTCACTAACAGAACCTCCCACTTTCTCATTAAATATAACAAGGACGACGGTTTTACTGCGTTTTTAACGTCTGAGAACATGGATCGCGTTCTGTTACGAAATGTCACGCTTAGATGGGAAAGTGTAAACACAGCTTCCCCTTCTCTTCCCACATGTTGTGCAAATGGCCTGGTCTCTCTATATATTTTATAGCTCTCAGTATGGTAATACATATACTCTTGTGCTTTTCTGCAACTGACTAAAAACATTATTTTTGCCCCTGCAGTATCATTTCCAGACACAAAACTCTAGAAGGTCTGAGCCAGGGCTCAGTGGAGTATCAGGCCCTGCAGCTGGTCTCCTCTCTGGAGCATTACGGCGTGGAGTGGCACTGGGCTCGCGACGCAGACGGTCAGAGGATGGCAATAGGAGTTGGTCCTGAAGGCATCGCTATTTGCAAGGAGGATTTCAGCTTGGTCAACAGGTACAACGACCGACATCTATAGTAATAACCTTGTTTCTAATATAACTGCATGTTTGATAATACAGGACGCGGCAGCATTTAACAATTTCCTGTTAACTTATTTTAGGATAAGCTATCCAATCATTCAGATCGCCACCCAGTCGGGGAAAAGTGTCTACCTGACAGTTACCAAGGACACGAATGACAGCGTTGTGCTTCTGTTTAAGCTGATCAGTAACCGGGCAGCCAGCGGCTTGTACCGAGCCATCACAGAGACGCATGCTTTCTACAGGTGAGGGTTAGAGCCATATTTAATCCCAGATCAGCGTCTCGTGTATATAGTACACAAAGCCTATGTACTGCAGCTATGTGGCTGCATTTAAGAGAAGTGGTTCAAAGCTTTAAAACATAACTGTAAGTTATTGCATCTCAAATGTTAGAAATCACAGGACAAAGTCTGCAGCTCACCTAATGTCATGAGCCCAGATGAGTTTAAATATTGAAATAAGTTTTTATGCATTGCTGCACAGCTCTGTGTGTGTGTGTGTGTGTGTGTGTGTGTGTGTGTGTGTGTGTGTGTGTGTCAGCAGTCTTTGTTGTTAGTCATTCACCAGTCTGTTTATTGTGGACTATCCTTCACTTAACACTAGTGAATTATTAGAGAGGTGCAGTAAAACATAACCTAAAATGTGCTCTGTAAAAACTTGTTTTGTTCTCTTTAGGAGAGCATAAAGTGTCCCTGCCTGACCTGCTTAAGTAAATATGAAAGTGAAATTTAACTGGGGGGCTTTGTTTGTGTGTGTGTGTGTGTGTGTGTGTGTTTTCCCCCAAAACTCTCTTTGCAGTGAGCAGGGACAGTTTAAATGGCTGAGCTATGAAATTGTTCTCAAAGACAGACCTGTCCTTTAGCTGCCAGGATAGGTTTTTTTTTTTTTTTTTTTTTAATTTAAACTCTGCAACAAATCATGTATTTTAGTAGTAAATGGAACAGGATGGTTGCAAGTCACAATTTGTATTGATTATCTTAAACTGAAATCAAAGCTCAAATTCATTGGCAGTAGTATTAATGCTTTTTTTTTTTCTTTTTCTTCAGGTGTGACACAGTTACCAATGCAGTGATGATGCAGTACAGCAGAGACTTCAAGGGCCACCTCGCCTCACTCTTCCTCAACGAAAACATCAACCTGGGCAAAAAGTACGTTTTTGACATCCGACGTACCGCCAAGGAAGTGTACGACCACGCTCGGCGAGCGCTCTACAACTCTGGCGTGGTGGACCTGATTTCCCGCTCTGAAAGCAGGGATCGCTACTCCCCTTCACGCTCCCCAAGCAGGGACGGCGAGCAGGACAAGGGGCTGGACTGTGGCAGCTGCCAGCAAAGCCGCGCCCTGCAGGAACGTCTGCAGAAGCTCAGAGAGGCTCTGCTGTGCATGCTCTGCTGCGAGGAGGAGATAGATGCTGCATTCTGCCCCTGCGGCCATATGGTGTGCTGCCAGACCTGCGCAAATCAGCTTGAGGTGAGGATTTCTCCACAGTCACATGTGCTGACAAATGACTCCTTAAAAGTGACTTTTGCTTGAAAATCAAACAGTTTCTGCTCCTACGTTGAGTTTTCAGTTTCACCAAAAGCCTTTTTAAATTATTTTAGCTCCAGATTCTTATCCTTTTTGTTTTGTTTTTATGGTCCTTTAAACAACATCCAAAGCCTTGCTTTACACTCTGCTGACCTGATTGTCCCCCACACTTAATCAGCTAAATGTGGCCCATCTTATGGAAGCAGATGGTGTGTGTGAGTGTGCCCTTATGAAGGGATTATGTCAGCCAGGCAAATCTCTCTTCTATTAATTCAAATGGGGAAACGTGACCCAACTAATAGATGTGTGAATCACTCCGAAACTTTAAGGCAAAAGGAAACGTTTACTTCTTTGGAAAGAATCACAGTGTAGTTTTGTGGTTAAGTTTGTGTTGCCCTCACTGCAGCACGATCAAAGTTGCACATTGAAATCACGAGGCCTACGTGTTTGTGAAAGTGATGCAGTTTTCCTGTTTCCCCTCTTAAACAGATGTATTTTAAATGCTTTTCTTCCTCTATTTTCCCCCCCCCAGTTGTGTCCCGTGTGTCGATCGGAGGTGGAGCACGTGCAGCACGTCTACCTGCCCACTTGCACCAGCCTCCTGAACCTGACGTTGACGGACAACCACCAGCACCGCAGCAATATTCCCGCGCCCATCCACAGAGACACGGCCTCTCCTCACACCTGCTCCACCACAGAGTATGAACACAAGCTCTACCACACATAAAGACGGCACCACCAAGAACTCCACCGTGAACACTTTGAAGTTATAACAGACAGATTTCATACAAAAGGAGGAACATTTGCTTTTTCATCAGCTTTTTTTCCCTTTTTCTGTCCCTGACTGAACTTCAGAAATGACCAAAAATAGAAACTCCTGAGCATATTTAAAGATCTCCGCACTTAAACTACACTGATTCTTTGTTTTTGATGATGTTCAGTTTGTCACTGGTTCATTAGTATTTTTTTTCCTTCCTTTTTGCTCTGTCATTCTGTCCAAACATTGTCTATTTTATTTTTTAAAATATCATTATGCCCTGCCACAGTATCATTTTTATTAAGATTAGGCTCTTATTGTGAATTAAATTATTGCATCAGTTGACCTGATACACAATTATGCTTTTGAACTTGTATTTTGGTTGAATGCTCCATCGTGAGTAGCTCCTAGCCCTCCTAGACTGGCTAAAAACGGTATTTAATTGAGGGTGTTTTTGTTTTTTAATAATTATTTTTGAAGCTTTGACATTTTAAAACTTTTATGTAATGGCTTGAAATGCAGTTATTTTTTTTCTTAATGTACATTTTTTGTTTTTTAATGCCAATGAGGAGGTATTTAGAGGTTTTGCAGCATACTGCTTCTGAGTTTGGCACGCATCGCACAAACTGCAGAAAGACTACCACAGTCTTCGTCTTGTTTTGATCAGAACTGAATCTTCCTGACACTCCACTCGGTTTCTTTCATAGACCGCTCAATCTTCACGAGTTTATCTCTCGTCTGGACAGAGATAAAATTAAAAACACTAAAGACACAGACACAGAACGGTTGTATCTAAAAAGAATTGGCATTTGTTGAACAGCAGCTGCTTCCTCTGAAAACCTCACCTGTAAACTTCCTCTCTCGGATGTGCTAGTGAGTTTCGGTATTTTAGGGTACTGGGACATCGGTATGTGCAATACTTGCTTGCCAAGCTTTTCATTTTCAGTTTTATTTAATTTCAAAGAATATTAAAACGATGAGGAAAAACGCATATACACCATTGTCACTTTACCAAGGAAGGTTTCCTCAAATATGCCTGGGCTTTGGCCTTAATGTAGCAGCAATGTGTTTATCATTATTATTATTATTATTATTATTATTATTATTATTATTATTATTATTATGCCAGCTTTCCAGAGTTTCTGCTAGGAAGATGAATCTTTTTGTCTACGCTGACCCAGCTAAGCTCAGTCACTGAAGGAGAAGGACTTTTATTTTTCACATTGTACAAGTAGTGATTTGTTTCTGTTTTCTGAAGCAAATGCCACTATGCTCTGTTAAACGACTTGGAATTAAACCCTTTTTTTATATATTGTGCTTTAACAGAAAGTATTAATAAAGTTGGTTTTTTTTTAAAAAACTGAATTGTCTGTAAATTTGTGGCACAACCATCACAGTTTCTGGCTTTTACACTTGACTGTCGACCAAGCTTAAGTATACCTGTTGTGTAATGTGCTGACTGACATTAAGAACAAGGAACTAAGCTGTAGAAACCAGCAGGCTTGGTGTTTTCCCATCTAAAGGCTGGTACTTCCTAAAATGTTCCCATGTGCATAATAAGACAAACCACAAGGAAAACTGCATGGAATGCTTTGTTCATTGTTACTTTGATCCTCTGCCTTCTGGTAAATTCACCCGGTGTTTTCGTCCTTAAAGTGATGACACCCCACGGGTGCAGTTCCTCAAGTGGCCACTTGAGGTTTGTTCCAAAAGTGAGCCGAATCCCCTGTAGAAGCCAGTCACTCCTTGTTTGGTGCTAATCCCAAACCAGGTCAAGTAAGGTGATACGTTTTTTTGGAAGATGCTCTAAGAAGTAACCAACCCTCAAAACTCAGGAGCTACTTTCAGAGAAATATAGTCATCAGATTGTCTGATGACTGTATTTTATATTTTGCATAATAAAGCAATGTGGATGTCCTTTAAATCCAACCAAAGTTAATGTCTGTCATGACTGAAGAACTGCAGGACCATGACTGTTCCTGAATACTTGAGCCTGCTGTGTATATTGTACAGCGAAAGATCAACCCATCATTTTCCATGTTAAGGCAGGGAGAGAGGTGAATAAAGCAGAGAGGCTTTACACTAATTAGAAATGACAGTCGCCACTGGACTGCGATTAGTCTGGGAGTAAGAGTTTAAGTAGAGGAGATATTGATTAGCCTTCCTCTTCCCTCTAACGCCTCTGTCTTTCTCTGACCTTCCCGTGGGAGATTAACAAAAAAAAAACGCCACACACACGCCACACACACAACACACACACACACACACACACACACACACACACACACACACACACACGCACACACACACACACCACCCCCACCCCAGGGTATGAAGCAGACTGCAGGGGCTGGATGACAGCCTGAGAGAAGGAGCGCGGATGATTCCCAACTCGGTGATCCGTGCAGAATTTGTCTTAATGCCGGTTTAAAAGCAAAACGGGTACCAGCAAATGAAACGCGACCTGAGAGTAAAGACAAAATTAAAAATCCTCTCCAGACATGTGGAAAAACAGTACTGCTTTCAACCACTTCAAAACGCGCGTTCACCTCCCTGGATAGAAGTTCTTCACAAATTATTCTCACAACTAAACTTTAACCAAAAAGAAATGAGCCTTTAGTCTCAAACTGAGCAGTGACCTGTCACTGTATACACTGAGCCTTGAATAACCTCCATGTAGGGTGAGGCTTCAAAACACGGATGCTTGAGATCAATAGCTTCTTTTTTTTCCCTTGGCACACATTCTCTGTTCTCACGTTGCCACAAACTGGTTATGTAGCATCTGCAGCAGTAATGCTTTACTCTGACCTACAGATTTGTAGTTAAAAAAACAGCAGTTCAGTTTAATTGCAGTAAACTGGACACTCAATTGTATTAGGTACACATTGCTGTTGAACACCCCCCCTTTTTTTTTCTTAATTGTTTGTGGCATAGATTCAACAAGGCACTCTACTGTGTTTGAGATCCGTATTGAGATGGAAGCAGACATAAGAAAATGGTCCATCCACTTTATGTGGTCTTAAAGGGCATGGACGTGGTCAATACACAGGCAGGCTGTGGTTTTTTGATGGTGATGGTATGAGAGAATACAGCATTACATCATCAACATAAGAACAGGCATTGTTTTTCCGGTCTTCTGTTGTTCCAGGTTTGGTAGCCTCAGCTTCCTGTTTTTACCTGTTGGGCGTGGCACCAGGTGTGGCCTTTTTCTTCAACGTTCAATATGTTGCGTGTTCAGAGTTGCTCTTCTGCATATCATGGTTAAGATGAGTGCATGGGGAGAATATGCAAACTCCACACAGGATGAGTTGAATCGGTACATTCAAACCACGGTGGTTAGCACCTTTGCCGCCGCCATGCTGCCCCTTTTCGGTCAGTTCTCTGTAAACCCCAGAGATGGCTCAGCAGTTTCCAAAACACTCACACCAACAGCCACATTCAGCATCACTTACATCACCTTTCTTCCACATATTGATGCTCTGTTTGAACTTGAGTAGAACATCTTAGTCATGTTTACATGCCTAATGTAACTGGCTGATTTATTATTAAAAAGAGGTTGAAAAAAGCACCCGATGAGTTTATTAGCAATAGCAGGGGCAAGGTGCACAGGTCTTTGTAAGCCTGACACTGTGCTAAAAAATTAATTGCAGAAAAAAACAGCCAATACCTCGAGTCATAAGCTCTTTGCAAGGTGAAACTTTTGTCACATTAAGCTAAAATATTTCTGATTCCACACAGAGGTGCATGAATTGCTTGTCGAGAAATTTCCATCAAAAGATTCAGAAGAATGGAAAGAAAACAGTTTAGTTATTCATTGAAGACTGGGAATTTCTTTGGACGAGCCTAATCTGCTGCATATTTTTGCTCAGTCACGTTTCAATAAAACACGTGTGTCTGAGCTGAGAGCCTACAAAACTTTTGTCATTCTAAAACATGAAAGTTGGTTGTTTTTAAAAAGCTCACCATTAGAACCAAAGAGCAAGTCAGTGAGATATAATGTGTAAGTGATGCTGCCTGTTGTTTTAGTCTGACTGTACTATACAGGGAGCTCATTTATATTGTGATGGTGGCCTATAAAGAGCTGCAGCAGGACTCAGAGTATGTCAAAGCAAAACTACAGCTAAGGTTGTGGATATGAATCATAATGTGCACAGAAACAGGAAGTTGCTTCGCGTGTGAAACAACGCAGACATCCTGCAGTCAGTAATACATATTTCTTCTGAATTGATTTACTCCCAGGAGCGGTTTATTATAAATGATAGAATAACAGCTTTTTGTTACAGATCCTTATCTAATAATTTGTGCTGCTGCCCCTCCTCTTTACTTATTGGCATAAACACTACGCTTCCTCTTTGCTTCCTTTCTAACCCTGGCATCTCTGCTGGCTGAAAACGAGTACCATAAAGCACCATTTCTCAGGAAACACCTTTGACATTTACAGCTTGGCTGCTTGGCCAGTATTTAATGGACGTGCCCAATGGGAAAGACAAACTATGACTCACTGTACCTCTAATTTTTAATTTAAAAAGAATGAAACAATTCTGAGAAATCCTTGATGCAGACCATCTCAAGTCACATAATCACGCTCCAGCAGTTATGTGGTATTCATCTTAACGGACACTGTGGTTGTGGGAATATAGAGGCGCAAAAAAACACCACAGGTTAACAAGAACTCGACTGGGTGTCAAACCATTGTCTCTGGGGAATGACGCACTTTCTGAACTTTGTTCTTCTTCTTAAACTTCTGTTTGTGTGTAAAAAAACAGACAAACAAAAAAAGCAAAGCCTGCTGAGAAAAGACGTTGTGCAGCATGTTGTTTGCGGTTCATGACAAATTTTACAGAGCTGTGCATCTTCCCTGATGGAGAAAAAATAATAAAATCTCCTTCATCCTCATCACCTTAGCTCGTCAAATAGAAAACAAATAGAATCTTTAAATTCTCGTCATTTCAACTCGTGCCAGGAAAAGAACATCAAAGTTCCTCTCCAATTTCACCCTCCCTCTGCCATGTGGTCTTCACATCTGCTTGGCCTAGTGACACACTGCCGGGGGAAACACACTACTTCAGAACGTGCCGGAGATCTGGTTCCTTGGAGCGCATGTCTACATGGAAGCATCAGCTGGTAACCTACTACAGGGAGATAGAGTCCAGTCTGAGTGTGTGTGTGTGTGTGCAAGTGTGTGCAAGTGCATGCCTCTGTGTTCTCTCAGAAGTTGTAAAGGGGACCAAACACCATCGCTGTGCCAAGATACACAACATTCTCCACCCAGAGGATTTAAACTTCATCATTTGCAAGCCGACTTCAGTGTGTTATAATGAAGTCTGCTGCTAACATGTGTCTTTGTGCGTATAACTGTGGCGCTTTGATGAATCATTTTAAAATCACACTGTGGAATAGGGTGCCTTGCTCTTCCTGTTATTTCCAAGTTTGCAGCTGGGCAAATAAAAATTTAAAAACTCAAAAAATGTTGGTGAGATAAAATTATCTGAGGGGAATGAATATGTTTGTTGTCACTGCCTGCCAAGAGGCTCGAATGGCTAAAAATATCCATTTCACATGATAAGAAAATAAAGAACCAGATTGTTTTAATAAGCTGACCTGTTGGGTTGTTATAGGGAAACATGGTTATATACAATACAGGCATTATATACGAGTTCCACGAACAACGAGAGCTCATACAAGCATTTACATAGTGTGTGTATACCCTTGTATCTACCTGCTTCCCTTTCACCTACTTCCTACAAAAGCTCACAGCTCAAACACAGGTCACAGCCTCCAGTTACGACTCGTGATAAGCTGATAAACGAAGAACACAGTTAAGAAAAAGCTGTTCCTTTCTTATCAGTTTTATTGCCGCGAAAGGTTTTAAAGGGCCAACACTGCTCTGCTTGTTTATCCGTACAGTACAGTGCGACGTGCACCACGGGGCTTAAAGATCAGTGGCCTTAGTATTCACTGTAGCCTTATCTCATGTAGATTACGTTGATGTTATCAGTCACAGAGCGATAAAGCGTCGGGTCAGACTTCTGTGTATCCAGCCTCGGTCTTTTCCAAGCTCAGTAGTTTGAATGATTTTAAACTGTCGTTTCAAGATCCTTTTAGTTCAGTCTGTTTGTTGCACGTCGAGTCAAATTGATGTTACGTAACACGATCCCACGATCCGTTCAGTCAAATGAGAATGTAGAGTGCAGTAGTTTTAGGGCTGATTTGCAAAAAGTCAGCTCATTTCAATATAGAGCACAAAAAAAACAAAGACATGACTTTTTCATCGCAAAAAGTAAACTGTGTGTCGCAAACATTAGTCTGATCAGTTTGCCCGCTTGACTTAAATATTCTCCTTCTAAGCAACAGGATCAGAAGCAAATATCTCGTTCCAACCTCTTCCACGGTTGTGTGAAACTGTAAAGTGTGAGTGTTTATTAATGAGAGTTTGTGTAGCAAATAAATGTGAAAGAGGCTGATGGGAGTGAAGAGAGCGTGGAAAATAAAGGGGTTTTTTTTACCACAGAGAAGAGCTTTGGTGTCAGTGGTTAAAATGGTTTTAAGGTAAGTACAACGGGATCAATTATAGACATTTAAAATAAGTTTAAAATAAACACATTTCTAACTGTCATATGAAAAATTGTAAAGTGCTGAGAGCCCGTTCTTTATGGACCTTTCTTGTGTGCGGAGCCTGCTTCCAACAAAGAGAATCAGGTCATTATGTCACATGAAATCCTATATAAAAACTTCTTGCTGCGTGTCTAAAACTATAGTTAAAGAATATGTAGGGTTCTTAAAATACCTTCACAACTCTGTCAAGTGTGATTAATCGATGTATCAGTGTTGTTCATTTGAAGAAAAAAGTTTCCAGTACATATTAACGCTGATCCACTGATTAATGAAATGTGCTGAGACGTGAGCGGAGGGTAAAAAAACTATTTAGAAATTGTGGAAAATTCTAAAGTTGGTATGTTAGTATGTGTGATCGGTGGCTACTGAGCCTGAGAGTCAGAAGCCTTTGTCACATAAGCAAGAATGACAAAGAGAGACTGAAAGTAGTAAGAAGGGTGGGGAACAAGTTCAGTGGACGTGATCTGTTTGAGCGAGGGAGTTAATGTTAACAATTAACATGCTAACTGAGGCCTGTAGAGTTTGAGATGTAGCCATCGGGTGTTTCTGAACATAGCACCATCTGGCGTTGTGGTGAATTTGCTAGGAA